TTTTCAAACGAAAAAATATGTCCTCAAGGTAGGACATTTCATCAGCCATCCCAGGAAAAAGAAAGTAAATACAGTACAACAAAATTGAAATCTATTAGCACGCTCTGCTTCGTGCACAAGGACTTGTTTTTGGCAGATAGCCATTCTTAAAGGAAAGCTTTTGTCCATCCACTTTGCTTTAAATGTTTCCTAATCATGTTTTCAGTCCGTCTTCTGTTTCTTTAGTTTTAGAACACACAGTTTTCACTAAAGACATATGCTTACAATTTGCAACTTCATGTCCTCCAAACTCTCTGGAATATGGTTAGCTACTGAAATAACTTGCCATGACAATACATACTATAACTGTATCTAGTGGTCTCCTTTTAATAACTTGGAATTATTGTCACTATCTGCTCCTTTTCCTGCATTCTTACCTCTTTTTAAAACTAGTTTTCTCCTCCTCTTTTTAATCATTGGCACACTCTTGTCTTTAAATGCTATTTTATCATTTTCTCTGAGTACTTGAGATACAACTGACCCTTAGAAGGAATGATGAGGATGGGTGCCGTGGCTCATGCCTGTAATCCTAGTACTTTGAGAGGCTGAGGTGGGTGGGTCACTTGAGTCCAGGAGTTCGAGACTGGCCTAGGCAACATGGTAAAACCCCAGCTCTACAAAAAAAATCAAACATTAGCCGGCGTGGTGGTGCACGTCTATAGTCCCAGCTACTTGGAGGGCTGAGGTGGAGGATCGCTAGAGCCCAGGAGGTTGAGGCTGCAGTGAGCTGTGATGGCATCACTGCACTCCAGCCTGGGCGACAGAGTGAGACCTTGTCAAAAAAAAAAAAAAAGAGGGAGAGAGGACACAAGGAATGGTGCTCTGTGGCATCTTCTCACATGCATTCTGGTGTGCTGCTGCTGGACTGACTTCCCACCTGCAGGGCTGGATTCCCTCCTGGGCCACCCAGTGGGGATTAGTGTCTCTTTGAGCCCCAGGAGTAAGACTCTGAAACCTTGTCTTCCGCCTTGTAATAAATGCTTACTAAGTGTATTTTAAAGGATTAACATCAAAGTCCAACTTGTGCTTCTGTATGAAACAGTCCATTTCTGGAAAAACAACAACGTTGCTGGTTTTCATTGTTCCAAAGGCACTGGGGTTGGCACCGGTCCTGGAAGCAGGGCAGCCCTCAGCAAAGTGCTTCAGTGGGCACAGTGACTTCACTGTTCTCACAGCTCTCCACGTCCCCTCCCCTGGTGTCCTCTCTCTGGTCCTCAGTTACTCAGGCCTTTCTCTTTGGCTCCTTGCTATGTGTGACATCCAGGTAACATTCACGCTCCTGATGGTTTCCATCAAAATGTGGGCTTCTGTCCCTCCTCCTCTCAGGCAGGCCCTGCTATGGGCTTTCCACGATGGTAGCAAGCAAAGGGGAAACCGAGTCATGGTCTGCCCCACACCCTCTCAAGCCCCAGCCTCTGACCTCCCCCAAACCCTCCTTGACAAACACAGCATCGAGGTAGGGAAATGAACCTCTGTGCTGCCGTTTCTGCCTGGAGTTCTCTTCCACTGCCAGTCCTTCCTTGTCCCGTGACTTCTAACTCATTCTTCAAGATGTAAATCAAAATGTAATGACTCCTCCTGCATGTTGGTGGCTGCAGTTTGCCCCAGTCCCTTGGCAGCGTGCACACTGCTCCTCTTCAGCACACTTCCTGCACTATATTGCACTTAGTACTTTATGTGATTATCCACCACGTTAGACTGCGAGCCACATCTTTTTCCTCATAGTTTCCCTGACGCAGAGCACAGGACCTGGCCTGGACCCTAGTTTATTCTTTTTTTTTTTTTTTTAATTCTAGCATTTTCTTTTTCTTTTTTTTTAATTGCATTTTAGGTTTTGGGGTACATGTGAAGGACATGCAAGATTGTTGCATAGGTACACACGTGGCAGTGTGGTTTGCTGCCTTCCTTCCCCTCACCTGTGTCTGTCATTTCTCCCCATGCTATCTCTTCCCATCTCCCCACCCCTCCGTCCCTCTCCCATTTCCCCCCAACGGACCCCAGTGTGTAGTGCTCCCCTCCCTGAGTCCATGTGTTCTCATTGTTCAACACCAACACGCAAGGAAGAAGGACAGGGAAGGAAGATGCGGCTGGGGGCAGAAGAAGGAAAGGTTAAACAAAACGGTAGCTTCTCATTTCTCATTTGTTTTAACATTGGCTGAGATGCAATGCCATGTCTGCATTCAAAAGAGTGGTTGAGATTAAAAGGAGAAGAGAGATTGTGGGCATGGGGCAGTTTTTGGCTAATTGGGTTAAAATTTAGGATTAGAGAGGCTTGAAGACTTCCTTCAGGTCATTGAGGATACCATCTCCTCCAGCTCTATAGATCACAGGAGTGTTGAGAACTTAGTGACGCTTACTCACTGTGTTTCTGACTGGACTAGAACTGGTGTGAATTTTTTTCAAGCAATTTCTAGTGTGTGATAGACCAACCAAAGCCCAGTGAACACAGAGCATTCTATGAATCTTACAGGAATGGTGAGTTTAAAAGGACTAAAGGGCTGTGTGGTCCATGACTTTCCAAAGCGGTGATCACCCCGAGTCTCGTCACAAGCAACATCAGCCCTGGCCATGCCCTCACCCTCAGCGTCCTTGACACAGCCGGCAGCAGCCTGCTGGGAGGATTCCCTTCCACACGGTGATGACATTCAGCTAAGCCACAGTTTCCTTGACCCAGGAGGAAACCCGTGTGGTTTGGGGTTGGTGGAATGGATGAGCAAGCGCAGATTTTTTCCCATTGCCGGATGGCTTTAAATTGCAACCTCTCTTTTAATTTTCCATTATGCATCAAACACATCTGTGCCAGAACTGGACAAATGTATTCCGTCTGGGAGGATAATCCCAGACAGCTATAAATTAGGGTTTGCGTACAGAGATTCCAAAAATGTGACCTCGCGGTAGGGTGTCCCTGGGACCAGTCACCTCCTCCGCAGTCTGCTGGGTGGCTGCTGGCTTTGGCCCGATGCCTCTGTCAATAGATTTTGCCTTGTATTTGGAAACTCTGTCTTTCCATCAAGTCGCCACAGAGACGAGGGCGTGGAGTTTGCCTGCGAGGCTTTGCTGTGCAGAATTGTCCCAGGCAGCCTCCGAGTGCTCCTAGGAGGACCCTAGGTGCTTGATCAAGGGCATAGCTCTCTTTCCTGCACAAGAACAGCAAGGACCTCAAAGCTAGTGTCCTCCTGAGTTAAAGCATGGCCCAAGAAGACTCTCCCCACTTTTTCTGGATTGAACATAGAAACTATCATGTAACACTTTTAAAATGTATCTTTAAAGTTACAAGAGAAATACATGCTTAATGCAGAGGACTTAGAAAATATACTGAGAAGGAAAAAAGTCACCTGGAATCCTGCCCTTCATAGATATTGTTAAAGTTTTAGCAAGGCTCTTTTCAGTACTTTTTTTAAACGCAGAGGTCTTTCAAAAGCTGACTGATCCCAACTGCTTCAGTTGCCCCTCACATTATGCAATTAGTGCTTTCCCCTGAGCACTGGAAACTCTTAATTACTCCACAAGGGAGAGTCCAGCTGGTAGAACTCTGCCCCTCTGACTCCTCCTCACAAGTCACACCACTTTTCTGAAGAAGCTGGCCACAGAGGGGATTGGTCTTGGGGCATAGAAGGGCAAGAGGGATAAAGTCCTTGCAGAAATCTGGCCAGATCATCTGGAAGGGTAGTGCCAGGTGCTTCATAAGCCGCCCAGCAAGATAGAAGTCTCCTATATAAAAAGGACTATGTTGTCTCCGGTGTGATTTTTCCTTTTTAGACCTTGGCTTCTCTGATTTCCATCCCCTACGCTCCTGTTCCCAGCATCTGTATGTTCTCTGCTGTTTGTGAAGGGGGAGCCTCTCAGTTGTTCACTTAGTGGTAGGCTAGGGCAGCCCAACAGCAACTGGATGGGCCAGCAGAATTAGGAGGCTATTTTTATATCTCTGCTTACTTTTCCGTGGCGCCCTGAGCCCAGAAGGTGCCCAGTAAATATCTGTTGATGGATTGATACAGTGAAATTCGAGAGTGGTGTTTATGGAGAGAGAACACCATGGCTAGAGCCTACTGGCATGCAGCAGTGACAGTCCTGAGATGGCAGAAAGGGCTTCCGACTTCCATGCTGAGCCTCACAAAAGCCTTCAGAGTAGGGAAGGAGAGGAAGCTGGGTGATGACTCTACCAGCTGCCAGCCTGCTCAGCCGGTGCCTGTGCCAGCCACTCAGCCTCTCCATGAACCACACAGCACACAGACCACGCTTTTTCAGAAAATTATTTTTTCCTTTCTCACTTTCCATGGAAACTCAAAATAGCAACCAAAAAAAAAAAAAAAAAAAAAAGACTGGACTATCATCTCCCTACCAGCAAAACCATCCCCATTCAGAGCAGTGGTCGTAGAGGAAGTGGGGAGAGGGTTACAGATGCCCCTAAAACAGCTTTCTATTTGAGGACTGCACTCATGAGGTGTGGGTGGGCTCTGAGGTTGAGGATGCCGTATTTTCTTCCCATTTAGAAAAGTGGGTTCCCCCAGGTCTTGGAGTTCATCTTGCTCTTGGTGACCTGGTGGCTAAGATGTAGTCGCCTCTTGTGGTGTGGGTGAGGAGATCCGATGTGCCCAGCAAGGGACAGAAAGGCAGGGGGCAGATGCCTTCCAGAGGGAGTGTTATTGGAACATTGCTTTTGAGACACCTCCCTGGCTGTGCTGTGTGTGCCCCATAACCACAGGAGAGCCTGGCATCACGGAAAAACCTTGATCTCAGAAAAACCCAGTCCAATGTCACATCAGGGGTCTGAAGGGCTTCATGCACTTCATGCACTGAAGGCTTCACCTCTCTGAGCCTCCATTTCTCCCCTATAAAATGGGAGGGTTGGCCTCGGTGATTTCTGAAGGTATGACCCGTCGGCATCCTGTGCCTCAAGCCTGCTCTTGGATCTCTGCACGCTCTCCCCTTCCACTGTCAACACAGTGTCGTTTGCCTTCCAGCTGGCCGGATCAGCCGTCATTGCTTTTGGACTATGGTTTCGGTTCGGAGGTGCCGTAAAGGAGTTATCGTCAGAGGACAAGTCCCCAGAGTATTTCTATGTGGGTGAGTGACTCCAGCTTCCCTAAACTTCAGCTTGGAATAGATGGGGCTGTGCAGAGGCTTAGAGCAGAAGCTGCACTTGAACTTTGGTGGGAGGGGAAGGGAAGAGGGGCAGGGAAAGAGGCTGAAACGAGCCGCCTCTGGGCCCCTGTGCACTGGCCTAGCCCTCCGGGATGTGTGCTGGAAACAGGTAGGGTGCTGTTGTGACCCCTTCTCCTTGACCTCCCACGGTCTACCCCTCCACTCTCCAAAGTCAAGAGAGGCTGGGGCCGGTAAGAGCAGCCTGGTGCGCTTCTTTTCAAGAAAAGAAGTCTCAAGGAAATGCAGCTGAAATGCACTTCAAATAATGAGAAAGCTCCCTATTGCCTCAGAAATAAAGTGGGTACACCACACGTGTGTCATTCCCTAGCCCATTTGGGGTGACACAGGACCCCTGTGGGATTTTATTTTGTGCTCTTATATTTTGAATTGTATAGGTAAAAACATAACTCAAAATAAAGGTTCGAAGGTGCTAATCTCAGTCTCCCCATGACTAGGGACTGCAGAGAGGAGGGGAGGAGAGAGGAAGAGGAGGGAAGGGAGGGATGGAGGAAGAGGAGATGAGAGGGCTGCCTTGGGAAGAGGCTCCAGCGGGAAGAGGCAGTAGCTCTGCCCCTGCAACAGTAGGAAGGGGTGAGGAGTGTGGAGTAGGGTGCACCCCTAAGGCTGTGCTCTTAGTAGGGACTGAGCATTGTCGCCCTGGGATTAGTTGACCTACTTCTAGCATCTCCTGTGGCCTTTTCTCATTCTCCAGCTAAGTGGACTAGGAGTCTAGATTTCAAGAAACCCAAGGCCATTGTCATTACAGGTGACACCCCCATATGACGGGCTGTTTTCCATCGTCACCAGCCATAGAGTAAGCCTCAGTTGCTGTGGCGACGGCTATGCCAGGGAGGAGGAGCGTCCTGCACAGGTCATTTTCTCTGAATCAAAAGAAGAGTGGAGTGTCTTCAGGAGAGAGAGTGCGGGCCCCACTCAGAGCAGGGAGGTCCTCCTGAGGGCCGGCTCGCAGCTGTGCCGCCTCTTGTTACAAACACTCTTCCCACACAGCGTCCTCCTGCGAGAAGAAGAGCTATGTCAGTTGGATGCTTTTAGAGGAGAGTAGCAGAAAATCTACTAAAGATAGATAACAATAAGGACATTCCGCATTTCAGGAAATCTTAGCTGTGGCTCTTTGTAAAACACTCCATTTTATTTTAGGTTCCACTAAGAAAGGAAAAAATGCTACCAGTTTAGCTATGACTTACCATAAAAGATGCATTCTAATTTCAGCATTGTTAAGATGTACCCAAAAAAAAACACATCTTAACGGTGATGAAATACAGGAAAAGCAGTCTGGAGATGGGGACTTTCTAAAATTCGTTTAGAGCTGAACAAACTCATCAAGGGCCCAGGTTCTTACCCTCTCCCTGCCATACTCAGTGTCTTTAGATGGCTCCCCTCAGGATTAAAAGATCGCTGCAGTGGCTCCAAGCATCATATTCTCATACAGCAACATCCAAAAGGGAACAAAGAAAATTTCGCTTCATATAGTCCCTTTTAGGAATGAGCAAAACCTTTTCCAGAATCCCCCAACACATTTTCCCTTGCAGCTTATTAGCCAAAATCGCGTTCTGTATTCATGCCTAAACCAGTCATAGCCAAGAAGTGAATTACTCTGATTGGATCTCTGACTAATTGATATTCACACCCTCTCCTGGGCCTGGGGAGGGTCCAGGGCCCCCGACAGGACCTGCGACACTTGGACAAGGTTGGGATTTTGTGACAAGGAAAAAGCAGAGGAATCTGCTGTAGACATAAAACTGAAATGCTCCTTTCTACCCACATGGTCTCCAGGAGGTATGTGCCCTTCCATCGACACACACACGCTTAGCATATTCTTCCTTGGGGGGCTCCAGGCTCTGAAAACCTCCCCAGAAGCATTCTCCTATTCCAGAGCAGACCCCCAACTGTTACAAGAACAAGGTCAGTCTGTCCTTGTCCTGCGCCACCTTCAGGAGTCAATGAGCCCGCCCCAAGGGACACACAGGAGCCAGCAGAGGGGAGCATGAGAGAAGGAACACACCCTCCTCCATGTTGCCCACATTCCACGAACTGCTGACTTCGTGAATATTCCCCACAATTTCTAACTTAGGCGTAGCCTAGTCACAACTCAGTGGCCACCGATTAACCACAGCAAAGGTTTAATCCCACTTTAATAGAATTCTTGCCTCCCCAGGCATATATAGGGGAAATGTTCAGTGATCGATGGCAGACAACAGCCACAGCTGCGTGAGTGTTCCTGATGTAACCACTGAATTATAATGAAGAGAGCACCGGGAGTTGGAGGACAGACCTCAGGGTGGCTGGGACTTGAATGGGGCTGAGGACAGGTAGGTTTTTGACAGACTGAGATAGGGAGAACTTTATTTATGACTGAATTAGGGTTGGCAAATACATGGCAGACAGCCGCCATCTTCTCCCTTGTCTGTGGTGAATATGGCTGAGCGTTCAGGAGACTGTTCTGAGGAGTCTTCTTACCCCAGCTTTTCCTAACCATTTGCACAGGGTGAGCCTTATTTTCTCTCCTTACTTTGAAGTCAGTGGTTACTTGATATCCTAACATAAAGTCAGTCCCAGTAACCAGGTGAAGTCTTTTGTTCCTGAAATTCAGGCACGTTGGGTTTGGGGGCATAGCATGAAGTCTGTCTGCCCTTATGTGCTACTGGGTTTGCTCTGGAAGCCTATTTATCTCATCTTCCTCAGGTGTAATCCTGAGACCTTCCAGCAAAAGCTGCATTTGTGCCTCTAGACTTCACAATTTAAGATACCATTTAAATTACATAGACCCCTGGGTCTACGGGGAGGAGTCCAGCCTTGGTTAGAACCAGAATGTGGGAAAACACCAGTGAGTGCAGGTCCATCTACCAATTCTCCTTCAAGGTGTTTGGCAAGAGTCTACTGCCTTAAACCCAGCCACCTACCCACCCTCACTGCCAAGTTTGAGACTGAAAGGTTTAAATCTCTATCACATAATTTTTCTGAGATTGAACTGGAGATTTTTCAGCAGTCGCAGGGAAAACCCATTTTTAAAGACCCTGAAGACTGGGTTATGTGAATCACGTCTGAAAATAGCCAGATCTCTCTCCGCCATAATCAACATCTGTCTATTTAAAAATCTCTTCGTGGTTATTTTACCTTTTTTGATTTCACCTAATATTTGGTTTTATGTTAACAGTTAGGAGTTCAAGCAGAGGTGCCTCTATTCTTTCCACATATAGTCAGTTCCTCCATTTGAGACAAAAAATATAACCTCAGTATAACCTAAATATAATCCACTGGGCAGCGTTCACAGTCCTGGGCTCTGCCATCACGCAAAAAATGTACAAGGATTCTGTCACTGCCCCCGTGCACCTTGTAATATAAATGAAAAGACTCGTAGACTTCACAATTTAAATTGCAATAAAAATTAGCATATGACTAACTGCCAACTAAATGGTATTTGCAGTGGGTGCATGAGAGGCCATTCTAAACTGGTAAGGAAAGAAGGATTTGAGTTAGGTTTTAAAGACCGGGCTGTAATCAATGGAGAAGAGAAAGAATGCGGACCGCACAGGCTGAGGGGGAGTAATGCACAAGCGTGGCTGTGGGGAGGGCTCAGCGAGCCAGGCGGGGCAGTGGCTCTGTTGGAGTCTGAGGACTGGGGCATGATGAGCAGAAGGATTCAGAACACTGGGGAGGGAGAGGGACGAGTATAGAGGCCTTTGAATGTCAGGGTTAAGTTGGTAAACAGTAGAAGGATAATTTGGGGCTGGAGGTAAGGTATGTTCTGCACTGCATTTTAAAGAGATCATACTGGCAGAAGTGGAATGAGTGAGGAAGCCCAAGACAGAAAAAAAAAATAGCAGATAATTGATGCAGTCAGGCCTGAAGAAATTAGGGTATAACCCACAGTGGTTTGCAGTAGGAATTACGAAGAAAGAAACAGAAAGATAAGAAACAGTGCTAAACATTTGTAAGTCTAACTAATCAAACTCAGGGACAGAAGGAATCAGAATGGAAAAAGATATGAGTGAGAGGCAGAGTCAACCCTTCCAGTAATAATTTGTGACTTTCGGATGAAAACCTGAGTTACAGCTGTAAGTAAGGAACCCCTGCTCCATCAGAGGAAGGGGCCATTGAGTAGAGCTACAGATGGAAGACCTTCCTTCGAGCAGCCTCGGTCTGTATTTCTCCAGAAACAAAAGGCTGATAGTCATTTCACAGCTCTAGATGTCAGTTCCCCATAAAAACCTTTAAGACTGAATACATCAAAAGGTTGAATAGATTCCAGAGATGAAAGTGAGCTCTCCTTCATATCATTTCTAACCACTATCGTGTCAAGAATCAGAATTGTGTGTTTAATTCAGGAGATTTCTGTGCTGAGTGGGAGGCTGAACTGGCTCAACACACCCATTCCTGATTTTGTGTCTAATCTAAAACAAAGTAATATGCACACTGCCTGAGATACGACCAATTATTCATTATGTCATATCTTTATGGACATGTCTGTCAAGACTCTTCCTATTGCAGATCACAGACGGCTACTCGAATTGACTGAAGTGACAGAGACATTTATTGACTCACATACTTGAAAGGTCCAGGGTTAATACTGGTCTCAGGGACTCAGATGATATGACCAGAGTCCAGTCCAGAGCCATCTCTTGCCCTGTTTTCCTTTGGCTCCCTTCTTGGGCAGGTTTCTTCTCCATGTGATAAAACAGCTGCCAGTAGCTCTAGGCTCCATTTCCAGAGTGACTCCAGAAGTAGAACATGCTTCTTTCATCCCAACAGATCCATCTAACAACCCAGGGCTACCTCTCATTGGCAATATTGGACCTGTGCCCATCCTCACACTTGTCATTGTGGCCAGTTGCTTGTGGAATATGCCTGGGCTTCATGCCCACTGTGGAGCTGGAGATGAGTCAACCCTCTCAAACTGCATG